AGTTTCAGATAAACAGATGCATAGATTAACTCAAAAAGTACATTTGCAGACATTTTTCATGTCAAGATCACCTTCAGTGAATTCTGAATCTTGACACTGCAGATTTCCAAAGGAATAAAGAACCAGAAAATCCAAAATGGAGGAAGCTATTGTTACTTATTATCCATGTTGCACCATGAACCTTTATATAACCTCCTCTGTCAAATATAAACTGCTCCACAGACGTAGTGTGCAGGCAGATAAGCCAGTGGTTGATGGTGTAAATACACCAATAAATTGTTGACCAATAAATGACCAGGATAACAAACTTGCGCTCTAACTGATGGGAAGAACCATCTTGAATAAAACGTTTTATTGAAATATATTAAGTACAATAAAAAATTCAGAGGGGAGTGCACGGCCCAGTAGAAAGGAAAATACAAGGATGCTGGAGGAGATACTGTGACAGGCTAGTTAGCATGTCATGGCTGGTTAGCAGGTTAATGTTAACATGGCAGCTACTGCAGATCACAAAATTACACAGCAGCAACACTTTCTTAATGCATAAATATACCCTACAATGTGCATTAGCAGGTTTAGTCTGGACATGAACCAGATTCTCTAAACACAACATCTTCTATTTAATCAGTTTTATATGTGCATATGCAAACACTTTAATGGCAGAATATATGAGGCTTTCCAAATGGAAGGGAAGACTGTGCTATTGCACAACACAGTGAGTGTGTAATGTGAGTGGACACATTTGGCCCATAGGATTTTAATGCAGTTGGTATATCAGGAGTTTTAAATGACATTAGTTTGACCCAGCATAATATATTCTGTTAGGTCTACCTGTAAGAAATGACAACAATTGATTACTCCTTACGTTCATTTCCTGAAGTCCTCACCCTAACCTTAAATCAAGTCTTCACCCCAAAATTCAGTGAATTACACTATGGACACAAGCCCCAGGAGGAAGGCAGAGTCCCCACACTGTAAGTGTGGAAACAAATTTCAGTCCCCTCAGTGCAAGTAATGCCATTGTGTTTAAGATTCATCATCTTGGCACCATGGATAACTGTACAAACTGTTATGACAATCCACAGATGCTAAAACACTGCACTGTAACATTGACCTGCTGGTGGTAGATGAAGATCACTAATGCTACAATGGGTCTTCCTCTGGACACATACAAAATGTTATGGCCATACATCTATTAGTTGTTCAGATAGTTGATTAAAAAAGTCAACCACATTATGGTGCTAGAGGTAAAGCAGTAAGGTCTGTCCTCTGAGGAATGTCTCTACAAAACATCATGACAATCTCTGCAGTAGCTTTCAGTCTGGACCGAAGTGATGGACCAGCCAGCAGACCAGGATTACCATGCTGGTAATGGCATATGCAGAAAGAAAGGCCGGTGAGCTCTGCATTTCCTGAGGGGCTTGTACTAGTTGCCACACAACTGACACCAGCCAGACAGGAGATGAACAATATTGTAAAGAATCTTTTTGATTTTTTTTATTTGATTTGATTTGATTTATTCTTTCAAGCATGTAAAGACAGTTGATATGTCAACACACATAATTTTACACATATCCAACAAATGCTAATCCAATATCAATGTGCTTATACCTAGTACATGCTTGAATGGAGTAGGAAGAAATCAGACTTATCCAGTCCTACCCCATGAATACAGCAGACAAGAAGGATCTAATGGTACTTACTGATCTCTGGTCAGGTTCAGGTGATGAGCCCTTCTCTGCAATTCTTCTCCTGTAAGACAGAGTCCAGAATTATTTCTGAAAAACAGTTGCTATTTTTAAAAACATATCATCATGTTTAATGTTAATATCATAAAGCACAGACCACACAATTCCTCCTGAACTCCACATTTTTAAAACCTAAATTCCTTAGATTTCTCTAGATCTTACAGTGATACTTCTCTGTCAGCAACAAAGTGCATTTAAATTACGATTTTACTACATATCATCTCATAATACTGAGGAATAGTGAGAGTGATGAGTACATGAACTTATTCTTCAGGTGGCACAACAAAATCCATTGCGACCAACATTGGGGTTTGCTAAATCTACTGTATGGCAACTGTGTCAAGTTTCACTTTTCTGTAGTATATGAAACAAGATCTGAAATTCATTCATATGACTCAAGTGCCTATTTTGAGACGTACTGAATCGAAGAGTAATATATGATGTGTCGCTCTTTTTCCTTTATTACTGTGTCTGTGACTGCATTGCTAGATGTACTAAATCTGGACCACAAATGGCATCATGTTGTTGCTGTTGGCTCTCTCCTTCATCAGTTCCCACAGTCACACAGTGATGCTAATTCTGCTGCACATTCACCTGATGTTGTTTTGAAACTTAAGCAACCAGGTCATACTGTTAGAGTATGTTAAATGATAAAGTATTAGCAATGTCAGTCATCCATGAAAACATGTGGCCACCACTGGCAGTTTATTCTGACCCAGCAGGTGCACCAACCAGACATGACACCAAATAATAAACACTTCTGACATTTTTTTCAAATCTTCTAACAAAATGGCTGTAACCCATTTCCCCATCCACTGAAACCACTGAAAGGCCTTCAAAGACAGCAGCTAGAAAGTCGATACTCACTTTAATTTGTATAGAACCTACATCAAAAGGAACAAAGGTACTTCCACAACAATCAGTTAGCTGATCATATCATGTCATGAGAGAGAAGACAAGACACAATAACACAATGTGGTCTAGTTTGTTTGCTCAGCTGCTGTAAAAACTTGCCCTGGGGCCAAAAGGTAACCAGCAGCTGACCTGCGTCCAGTTTGTGTGCCAGCTGGGAGAGTTGTTAGATGCTGATCTTTTTGAAGCCCAGATAATGGAACAGCTATCTATAGTGCGAGTCTTAATGTTGGTGGAACATTTCTCATTTTTAATATTTTTCACCGTCTCTGTTATAGTTAAAGTCCCCTTGTGCTTTAATTTGCTTATTGTTGGCTACTTATACTGTTAATGGTCTCACATTAAGCATACATTCATGACTTAAGGCTAAATAACCAAAAATACATGTATAGCAATAATCACTTACATTATATACACGGGTGACAAATTAAAGGAAGACCCTGAATAAGTGAGTGGTCTCCTCCAGGATGACAGTACCCCCATCCACAGGACATGAGGGATCACTGAGTGGTTTGATGAGTATGAAAATGATGTGAATCATATGCATGCACATGTCCCTATAAAATCCAGGCCATATCCAACATCAGTGTTGCACCTCACTAATGCTCTGAATGTGATAGCAAATTCCTGCAGCTAATGTTCCAACATCTGGTGGAAAGAAGAACTGAGGCTGTTATAGCATTAGATTAATACCCATGGTTTTCCAATGAGATATTCAACCATAATGGTGTAATCACAAGTTTAAGGTTCGGGTGTTCACATACATTCGACCATCTGTTTCGGTGAATCATTGTGTTTGTACAAGTATTCTTAGAGAAAGTGAGAAGCTGAATAAAAAGTCATGAAAGATTAGCTTGACCAGCTCTATAGAAAGTGTTCTGACACACAAACATGTACAGGTATACATACACACACATGCACTTATCTATTAGCCTGGTCCCCAACATGTTCCTATTTCCCTCCAGGACACACAACAACACACATGCACACAAAAACTGGTGTGACACACTGACACAGTAACATGAGAGTATTGAATTACACTGAAATATTAACAGCGTCATGGATGGTTTGATACGCTATTGGGACGACTGACAATTACACCAACAGGGACTTTAATGACATTGCATTCAAATACATAGACTTTAATATGGAGCTGCCCTGCCACACCCCCCCCCCGTTCTTGGACGCCTTTCCACAAGATTCTGGAGTGTTTCTGTGGGAATTTGTGCCCATTCATTCTGTAGAGCATTTATGAGGTCAGGCACTGATGTTGAGCGAGAAGCCCTGGCTCACAATCTCCATTCCAGTGAATCCTAAAGGTGTTCAATGGGGTAGAGGTCGGGGCTCTGTGCAGGCCAGTCAAGTTTTTCCACTCCAAACTCATCCATGTCTTTATGGACCTTGCCTTGTGTACTGGTACACAGTCTTGCTGGAATAGAAAAGGGCCTCCTAAACCTGTTTCCACAAAGTTGAAAGCATAGTGTTGGCTAAAATGTCTTGGTATGCTGAAGCATTAAGACTGCCCTTCACTGGAAGGAAGGGGCCTAGCCCAAACCCTGAGAAACAGCCCCATACCATTATCCCTTCTCCACCAAACTTCACAGTTGGCACAATGCAGTCAGGCAGGTAACATTATGCTGGCATTCGCCAAACCCAGACTTGCCCATCTGACTGCCAAACAAAGAAGTGTGATTCTTCACTCCATGGAACACTTTCCACTGCTCCACAGTCCAGTGGCGGTGTTCTTTAACACCACTCCATCTGACGCTTGTCATTGGACTTGGTGATGTGAGGCTTGCATGCTGCTGCTCAGCCATGGAAACTCGATTCATGAAGCTCCCGCCGCACAGTTTTTGTGCTTACATTAATGCCAGTTTGGAACTCTTCCGCTTCATAGCTGAGTTGCTGTTGTTCCCAAACACTTCCACTTTCCAGTAATACCACCTACTGTTGACTGTGGAATATCCAGCAGGGATGAAATTTTACAAGCTGTCTTATTGCAAAGGTGGCATCCTATCACAGTAGCACGCTTGAAGTCACTGAATTCTTCAGAATGACCCATTTAGTTTCACAAATGTTTGTAAATAAAGACTGCCTGGCTAGGTGTTTGATTTTATACACCTGTGGCAATAGGCGTAGCGAAGAGGTGTGTCCCAATACTTTTGTCCATAGTGAAGGTGCTCACACATAGACATTCATATAAAGACAGTCAGGTGCACATACATGTGTATGTGTGTTGCAGTTTTACTTAATACTTTTTTCTTGTATCCAGCCTGCCTTTTTTACCTTCTTTTTATCCCTTCTTCCCTCTCCTCAGCCCTCCATCCATCTCCACCCATCATGGCAGAGCCTTCTTCAGGCTGGTGGAAAATGACTTTCCTGAGGAGAAAAAAGTCCCAGCCCAAGGTTCTGTATGAAATCCCAGCAGAGATTGTTTCCAATGCCACCACTGATCAACACAGGTCAGGGCCAACAACCGGAGCTGCTGCCCATGCAGAGGACGTGGACCTTGACTCCCAGCTGGATGCCCGCCTGGAAAGGATTGTGGATAAAACAACGGCCAGCAAAGGCCGCCACATCAAAGTGTCCCACTCTGGAAGGTTTAAAGAGAAGAAGAAAGTGCGAGCCACACTGACAGAGAATCCAGACATGTTTCCAGGAGGCGACCCTGCAAAGGATGAGAACCAGAGGGCTGCAAAGTGACAGGAAACACAAGCACTCTAAAGCCGAATATAGATGTCCTCACGTGAATACATAGCAGCGTAAACACGTTAACATTCAATCACAAACACATTCAAGGGAGCTTTTAGTTTTAAAGGCTCTCTATCAGTTAATAGAGCCAAATCAGTAAATAACCCCAAAAAACAGATATCTTCATCAAAATTATTATTCAGGAACTCAGAATAGATGCAAAAATGTATCTAGTTTGGCTCTAGCTATCTAGAGCCAACGTGAAATCGACAGAACAAGTGAGCCCATAAATGATGCAAATGGTTGCAACTATTCCAGACCTGTCTGTGGCAGGACAGATAGACTCTGTAGACATTTAGAGACAACAGAGATTATGGAACAATGGAAGTGAACAAACTATTTTAGAAGAAAGCACTTGTGAGTTTTATGGATAACATTTTCTTTAAATGCATAGGTTTCAAATTCTTATAGAAACTGTTGTATTTGAGGTGATTTATGTCATTACACACAATTACATAGAACAGAATACAGAGAGTAAACATCAGCAACACATCTCATTTTTTAGAGAGACCAATGAAAGAAATGTTGAAAGAGAGATTGCACTGAGTTACAGAAACTAGTGGGACAGAGTCCAGATGTGACATCATGACTTCAGCTGCAAATCACAGTAGTTGCAGGCAACCTCTTTTGAAATGAATAATTACGTCTTATGGTTATGTAGCGCTTGTCTACACATTCACAGATCGGGGATTAGTTTCTTACTCAGGGACACTTCATCAATAGACTGGAGAAGCCAGGGTTCAAACAGTTGATGCTACAATTAGGAGATGACCTACTCTACCACATGAACCACAGCTGCCTTGTACATACTGTTTTATTCCGATTAATGATCTCTGTGGTAAATGTGTGGTACTAATTTCTGAAATCAAATGAAAGAAAGTCATTTTGTGGCATGCCATTATCTCATTATTGGACACACACTACCAGTCTGTACAAAGAAACACTCCCTCATGTTACTGATTTGTGCTCAAGTTCAAAACTGTCGTTTCTAGATTTATTGCATAAAAATGTCAGATATTTTCTCACGTCTATTATAGATATACTCTACCTTTTCCCAGCTACAGTAGTTCACTACCTGGCCGTGCGTAGTCTCATTCAGCTTCTACATAGAATCAAATATTTAGGAGGCTGCTTAAATGAATCTTTCTAAGGCATTTTCTAGTGTGAGCACTCTTTAACAAAGATACAGCGCACCTGAACTAGAAGCTGCCCTGATAGTGAGGGCAGATTAGCAACCAAGCACAATAACAAATTACATAATTAAGAGTCTTCTTTATTACCTGATCTTGACTGGTTGATAGAGAGCTCCTCTGTCAACAGCTACACCATGATTGTTTTTACCTTTAATCAGATCCTCATACAGCAAATCTGGAGCAAGGTAGATTATCTTTTAGCATAGAAAACAATGCAATGGGCATTTAGACTCAGCTGTGCATCTGTCTTGTGGATTTCACCAGAAGATAAATGCACAGCAAGGCTGGAACATTACTAGGATAGACTCTACACTGGTCCCAATAGATCCCAGGAGAGGACAGCCTGGTTCTACCCAGAATCCTTTTCCTCAGCTGAATCCACTACACCATTCATTCCAGCACTCCTCTGGATTTATGTGAAAGTTTACAGAGTCAGAGACATATGTCTTCAGTCCACTTTGATGTTCCATATCTGAGATTTTGGTCTCAGGAAATGATGAGAAGGCACATCAGAGTTTATATGGAGATCTGTGAAAATCAGCTTGTATTTTGATTTAGGTTGAATTTAGAAGCTTGTTTTCTACATAAACATCAGTCTGTCTTACAGCATCTTGATTATACTAAACATCAAATTAATAGATACATTTATTAGGCAATGACATCTATTTCATGACCTTGGTACTGACTGTTAGTAATACTTAGGGTTTAGATTTTGTGTTACCGGAATGTAAAACTGTTGACACTTGCTGTTTCAGCTTGGGATTGTAAAAGGCAGTGCTGAAAAACAGATTCTTTTTTAAATAAATGCGTTGTTCCATAAATAAAATATGTGAAATTAAAAGTAAATGACAGGTTCTTGCAGTTATATTTTTGCAGTTGTAGCTATGCCAAGCATAACAGCTAACAGCAAAAAGGTTAATCGATGTTACACGATGTTCATAAACACTAATCCCTATAATAATAAACCAGCTCATCAACACAGAGCTGTTGTGTCAGTTCACACCACAAGGGGAGTTCTCCCTCAATGTAAAGCCCTCACCATGTCCCTGCCTGTTAACATGATGCCCTCTAGTGGTCAAGGCAAAAAATACACCTAATGTAAACTGGCTCAGTAGCTCACATTTTAGAAAGCACACAAGTGGTTTAAAGTGATTTATTTCAACATTACCATTAAATGATAGTAACCCTGCAGCTTAGCCTGCTTACTGAAGTTACACAGGAACATAATTCATAAATCTGGGAATGAAATGTTTCACTTCAACTGAAACTTAGCTTGAATGATAATGACAATATAGTCATAGTTACAGAATAATTAACTACAAGCCTTAATGTTCTTTTTGTGTGTATATTATGCTATATACGGTTAATTGTTCAACACTCAAAGGAACCTTAGATAAAGAAAAATAAAATAAATATCAAGCATTGTGTGATATAAAGAAAATGATATCATTTACATAAAAATAACAAGATATTTTTATGTAAATGAAAATAACAAGATATTTTAGTTACAGAAAACAACTATAGAAGATGAAATACATGCGGCTCTAAGTTTTCTTGCTTCACATTTATACAGTGTCAAAAAATTCAGTTACCAACACAATCTACATTATTAGTGAGTTCTTTAAAGGACATTTCTACCAGCTGTTTCTGTGCAACCTAATTGAACCTCACATCAGATTTATATATTTCCAAGACTATTAAACCATTCTAACTTCAAACTATATATACTGTATGTGTGTGTGTGTAAAATTTACATTAAGTAAGGATAAGACGTTTCAGTTCTAATTAAACCTCTTGTTAGAAATTCCCATAACATCACCAAACTACCAAAATATTTTGCTCAGCCTCAGCAGTAGCTGGTTCTCAAAGTTCTTTGCTACAAGACATGCCCTTCTGGGTCTGAAAATCGGCCCTGCAGTGCTGATATATGTCCATGTATAGGCCTACTGTATAAAGAAATGTCTTGCTGTTTTCAGTCTGCTCCATCAATAGTGCTATCTGGTTCACTTTCATCCATGTTGCTAGTAGTTCCTACCCTAACGGAATATAGATTTAATAGCTGCCTTTCCACATTTGAGTTTCCCTTTTTTTGTCCTGTTACATCTTTTACAGCCTTTTTACATCTGTCTTGTGTATGCACTGGTAGATACACCATGGGATTGTCTTTTCAGTGTGTTATAGCTCCATCCATTTTAGGATGAAAATTGGTCAGTGTTGGGAAGGAAGCACAATTCTGCAGAATAATTAATAATTCTCCTCAAATGTATTAAAACCAACAATAAGAGCCTGATTTGAAGATAGTAGAAAGTAGAAAAGACAGATATTCATGTTAAAATGTAGGGAGTAAAACTATAAAGTTCTCAGGATAAATAAAAACTCAAGCAGAGTACAGATACCTGAAAAATCAACCTCAGTAATGAAGTATTTGTACATTATTCCTTCTCACCACTGGGTAACATTAAAAAGTAGCCCAGTCCAGGCCTTACCCATGGTTTGGCTGTTAGGTTGTGATTTGTGGATATATTGCTCTATTTTGACATCCGCTTTTCTTTGGTGCACTTTGCCCTTGATCAAAGGCGTTTAATAGATTATTCTAAATTGTATATAAACCAAAAAAGACCACGAAGAGACAAGAGGGCCCATTTTCTCATCTTTTAATAACACATTCATATCTATGTTGTTTTGTTTACAAGGAGTTTAAAACAAGTGTTGATGAGGACTAAAGGAATCAGGCAGGCAGAGGGTGAAAGTCCATACACTGTGAAGACCAGTGGTGCCACGTGGTTGAAGGAGGGAGGCTCGGCCCCTCTTACACTGCATCTCAGCAGCTGGGACGTTTGCAATGAGTCTCAATTGGCGTACATGCAGACTTTATTTTTCTGTGCTGTGGCTGACTCCAGCTCAGATTAATCTAGCTGAAGCTATCTCAGGGCAGCATGAAAAGGACAAACATTATCCAGGGCCTCTCTCCTTCCACGTGCAGCAACACAGTCAGCTAAAACAACAGGTCCATTTCCTTTTTCAAATGACTTATTAAAAGTGAACATCGATCATCGATCATTGTAGCAGGTCCTTGCAGGGTGCTCTAACTGTAGGCTTTTCACAGGGAGAAAGAAAATGCTAAATGCACCCAAATACAAGAGATACAATCTGCTGTCATAAAATGAGAAAAAGTAAAAGTCAAACTAAATTTAACATGACTATTTTGAAGTTTAAAAAGTGTATGAAATGAACAAACAAAATATAAATTGGATAAAGAAATCTCATGCTTGTTGGGGTTTTTTAAAGGAAAAAACTGGTGTTAAGCTTATCTCCCCATTTCAATTCATTATCCATTTAATAATATTTTCAAAAACAAAAATCATCTTTGGAAGTAAAAGTATTTTTCCTTTAATAGACTATCAACTACAGTATATGGAGATGCTGCTAGCCAGTTATTCACTTACCTATTTTTCTCTCAAGCAACTTTTTCTTTTTTTGCTATTTTTGTGTCATTTTGGGGGGAAAAATACCATTTACCTTTTTTCCCTAAGAGGTAGATGTACAAAACAATTACACGGTTACGAGACGTGCCCCTTGATTCAGAAGGTGAAATCACATATAGGGGAAGTGGAGCTGCAGACTGGAGCTAACCGAGGATTGTGGGTAATTTTAGCGGTGGCGGCAGGTCAAAAATATGCAGCTGTCAAGCTGCGATTCAACTTGAGGTTTGTGACTAGAATCAGTTTTGAACAGTTAAACTGGAAAAAAGAGACTGTTACTGTCCACACCCAGACCAAACAGGGCACTGGAAATCCTGCCTGACTTGTAAAGAAAACCGTCGTTCCAGCTGCCATCACCCCACGTCACCCTGCACCACAATGTGTCCATATTGGATTTTTTTTTCCTTTTTGTTTTTTTTTTAATTAGTTTATTTTTACAGTCCCATTTCAAACACCAAAAAAATAAATTAAAGTCAAGAGTGGAAAAAGAAAGAAATAGTGACTGTAACATAAACTGATCATCTTTTTTGTCAGCATGTCTGTCTGTTTGCCTTGTCTGTTTGTAATAATAATTAAAAAAACAATCTTCTAGCTGAGTTTACTTATATTTTGAGGTAGCGTTCCTAGTTATGTGTCGAGAGGCTCTGTTGTTTTGTCTTGGTAGCATGTCCCTCTGCTAGATCTCAGATTTGTTTAAAATTTTTTCAAGGCTTAGCCCATTTACTGTGAAGGATGAGGGATACACATGGAGGAGCTTGTACTATTTTATGGCAACCTCAACTGTTCTCACAAGAGCTGTTTTCTGTCTGTCAGGGCTGAGCTACATACTGTAAGGTTTGTCAAACAAAGCTGTGCTCTGCTGCTACAAACAAGAAACCAAGCAAGACAGTTATGGGTCTGATTTTCCAAGCTTCTAATGTTTAAATAAAAGGACAATAGCAGTGAATGTCTGCCCACTCACAGCATATTCTTTTATAATATAAACAAAGGAATTTGCAGGGAATATCAACTCCACCCTTGCAGCAGAGAGCTCCCAGCAAAGAGGTGCCCAGTGGGGGCCCGGTATCAAATTATTTTGCCTTGGGCCCCTGAACAGGTCAATCAGGCCATGTTAACTGAAATCCATGATCTAGAATTTTTTTGTACATATGTTTTGAAAATGGTCTGAAGTAGTGAATTGTGGTAAATGAGGTAAAACCATGCACTGGTGTGGTCTATTAAACAGTCTTAAAATAAGCTTGCATTTTAGTGTGTGGCAATATTTTTCACTTTTTCTTTTTTTTTTTTTACACTGAGTGGCTCCTCACTCGGACATACTCTGTCCACTATCTGATCAGTTAACTTGCATAAAGTACAGTGTTCACTTTTGAGCCCCGAAATATTTCCTCACAGCAGAAACAGGAAAACCAAAGGAAACCTAAGAAACATCTACTGATTTCTGGATGCAGACTGAGGTTCACGTGAGCTGTTCTTACTGCCACAGGTAGCATGGTGTGTTTTCTTCATGTGTGGATACAACAACTCTAAAATGCATCGTCTCTTACTGTCTCTACTGCACAAAACAAGATGTGAAGAGTTCAGTTCCAAGATGAGATACCACCATTTGAATGTAGTGACTTACACTCCAAAATACTACTGAAATTATCTTAAGACCTTGAGCTCAGTATTGCAAGTTATTTGCTCAGAATGGCTCTGTACTGCATTTTGGACTTTCCCCCTTCCTTCCTGTGTGTTTGGCACAGTTACTGTCATGTACTGACCTACATGTTAGTAGCTCGTTGTATTTAGTAGCTGTTGTGTTAATAGATTTGTGCATTCAAAAACAAAAACAAAAACAATATCAAATTAAACTATTATCATTTTTCCAAAAAGAGAGTCAGAACATCAAATAGGGAAAAAAAATGTGGTTAAAGTCAGAAATTGAAAGGTCTTGAACAGAAGTGAGCAAAACGAACACAATGGAGACCAGCGCAAGAGAGGGCGAGGGACCCTGACGTTCCCGCCCACTCCAAAAATGAAGACCCTGCCCCCCACCCCCCACCCCCCAATAAAAGTAAATAAAAACATGTCATGCTTTTACTGGAGTACAGAAGGTAAGAAAATGAATGAAGAGAAAGTTTGGTGGAAGGAAAAAGAAGGGAAAAATAAGAAGATGGTAAAATTTGGTTGTTGATCAACAAAGAAAGAGGGTTCTCACTACACTCCATCACAAATGTCTGCCCACCTGTCCTCCTTTCTCCCCTCCTTCTATCCTTCCTTCCTTTTTTCCCTTCACTCTCCACTTTTTTGCATCAGGTGTCGCAAGAGGTTTTCATTCATTTCAATAGTTTGACGTTGTCGACATATTTCATCAATTAGTGCAACATTAAGTCCCCAGATGTCATGTTCAGATGAAGCTTGCTGTATTGTCAAAACTAAACTAAACCAATCCAATAAAAGACACGAATTCTAACCAAATCAAATGGTTGCAGGCTGAATAGTGAATCCTAAATAGCGTGTCTTGGTGGTTGTGAACAGAGCTCTATGGTTTGACAGAGGTGGAAACCTGACACAGGACAGCTGTGTTGAGCTGTGAAGATACCACCTCTTGAAAAAAAAAATGGAAGCATAGACACAACAGAAGAGGCTTTTTGTAGTACATCACTGAGCAGAGATGAGCCATTAAAAAGATTGAGTTATCTGGCAGTGTCCTTGGTGCAATGCCTTCTCTCTCAATAGCTTTTCCCATTCAGATTTTTTAAATACTTTTTTTTCTCCAAAAATACAAAAGTATTGTGATCGCCAGTTTTAACGTATTATGTACAGGCCTGAATTTATTACTCAGCTTTGTTACTGTTGTTTTTAAAACTCTCTTGCTTTTCCCTTTTGCTTCCATTTTTTTTAAAAGGTTCTTGGATTTCTCCCTCCTTGGTCAGTTGGAATACAAATGGAGGACCATAGGTTCTCGTCCTACTTTTTTCTGCTTTTTTAAGTTTCGACCAACCCCATCCCCTGACAAAAATGAACATTTAAAACCACACACACACACACACGCACACATACTAGCATTTACATTCACAACCACACGCACACACCGAGCACATGTGTGGCCAACAGGGAGCATCTGAGGTGTCGTGGTAAGTGCACAGGTAATAAATATTCACATTCAGAGAAGCCAGAGCTAGTTCAGGTAGAGTATGCGTAGGCAGAATGTCCTCCCCGTCTCCATGTACAGTTATGCTGTAGATGGACCACTACATGTTCCCAACTTCCAGGGGAGAAAGATAACAAAAGACGGGGTGAAATTTGGCTTGAAACCTCGCTTTCACGTGTCCTCTTTGCCCATGATAAAGATCTTGTTATTTTGAACACTTAAAGCCTTCTCATAATGTTTGGCATTTCATGACAATGTCATTACAATAAGGCAGCAGAGGAGGGTCCTTCAGGGCACTGGGCCACAAGAAAAGGGAGTCGCAGTGATTTAATATGACCTGAAGAGGAGGTTGTCTGAATGTGTCAGTCATTCTGTATTATAAAAATCATTGGTAACACCCCCTCTGACATTACCAGGTGAGGAAAAAGAGACACCCATCATGTGTTTGATCACCACGTGTACTTTAGGACCCCCTCTCAAGTTAATACCACTCCCCATTGGCCAACTTTCAGTTTTAGACAACAGCTGCTCCAATCACACTTCAGGGAGACAGAAAGCGTGTTTTCTTTCCTAAAAAACAAAACAAAAACAACAACAACAACAACAACAACAACAAACAGGCAACAGGGCACTCCGCCCTTTTCCTCTCTAGACCAGCATTCTCTCATTCTCTGCTTTGGAAAAAAACTGCCTCGTCATCATCCTGAACTCATTCAATCATCAGACATCACAAAAAAGGGGGGAAAAACAGAAAAAAATAACCAAAGCAACAAGACAATACCTAAAAAAATTATAATTTTTTTCCTTAAAAAAATAAAAAATATTCAGGACTATCAGCTTTTCTTTTCTATTTTTCTTCTTATATAAAACACCAGCAAGCAAATAAAAGGTAGGAATACTGAGGTAACTTTACCCTGAGGTAGGTTTTTTCCTTTTCATTTCTTATCTAATCTGTTCTAATCTTGGCAAGAGCATCCAGGCATAGACCCCGCCCCTCATTATCATATGATGGCAGGGTCTGGAGGCTCCGCCCACAGGCCTTACGCAGACTGGGAGAGAGAACAAGGAAGCAGCTCACCTGTAAATTGATTTTACCTTCTCTGAGCTCAAGGCAAGGCACTTTGAAATGCTTTGCCTTTTTGGTTCCTGCACTCAGCCAAGGTCCCTCTGAGACTTCCTTTGTTACTATAAGCATTAAGGCCCTGTTTGCAAGAAACAAAGATGACTTTAATGCAGGGTTGGCCTAAGAACCCACTGTTCTTCTGGGAAGAAAGTCATCCTGACCAAGGCTGGCTTTGAGTGTCCAGCACTGCAGTGAGCAGAAAGGCTCAGACACACCTTGTCTGTCTGTCATTGCAGGAATATTTCATACAGATGTAGCAAAACCTCACATCTGACATGCTGCCATTAGTACATTCACCTGAGGGGCCGGGCTAACTCACATATCATATATATATAATATATATAAAATATGCCATTTAAGGTGCGGGCCGCTAGCCAGCTAGCATAGCTGCTGGCTGTTCTTTTAAAGTTGTTTTATAATGATATCACATGTGTGAGCTAAGCCGCTGCAATAGAACTGCAGGACCAGCTGCGACCTCTGCACCTCTTACTGTCTCTTGCTGCGCCTTCCGTCACACAGCTAAAAGTAGAGGGGGGAGCTCAATGCCTCCCCAGCTCCTGGCCTCAATATATGCTTCATTATGCTACATATCATAGACAAGGGACTGGGAAATGTATAGAAGACCCCTTTAATAAAAAGCCAGATGGCCAGACACAGCAGCTATTAAGGTTTACATGAAGATTATATATTTACAACCTCATATTTTCTTCTTTTTCCATTATTTTGGAAAGGTCTTTAAAGAGCAGTGTTAACATCTGCGGCCCCTCTTCTGGACTCTCACTGGCTAAGGGGCTAGAGGTGGGTGGGCTAGCACCAGACCTGTAACCTATCCCCTTGTGCCGCTGCAGCGGATTCCATGCTCCCTCTCCCAGCCCTGCTTCACTGCATTCTCTCAATAATAGCTCTGAATAAAACATTTCTATACATATAGTATCTCTATGTTTAAAAAAACCACCCTTAAAATATAGGACTGACTGAAGATGGTTGGAGAGGTCTTTAGAGGGAGACAGAGAAACAAAAAGAGCCTGCTGGTGCATCTCAGGAAACAAACCTGTCCAGCCAGCCTCTCCCCTCTGCTGCGGGTGTCAACCCCTTTGGATAGGTGTAAACAACAACAACAGCAAGGCTCCATCCTTACATGATGAATACTGCAGCCCATGTTGGTTAAACCTATGTTATCCAGGATCAGTTAAGGTCACAACAGATGAGGAGCTGACTGCAGCCCTACCAAGACACACTGGGATGACACCATCTCTCCCTCTTTCCAGCCCACCTTTCCTCTATCCCTCCATCTTCAGTCAGTCTCTCTTCTGGCCTGGCATCTGGTCTCAGTACTGAAGTTTCTTTAAATCGTACTCCTCTTTTTTATTCATCTTTTGATTTTACCTCTCTTGCTCTCTAAATGCCTATCTTTCTCTCTGGCTATCGGGCGTACTCCCTCCCTCTTTATATCTCTCCCTGTCTATCGCTGGGTCCGTGTGTTGCTCTCCTGTATCTGTCCGTCTATCCGTCCATGCATGTGTCTCCGTCTGTCTGTCCATTTGTCGAGTAGGGGTACCCCACGGTGGAGAAGAGTGTGGGGATCCTCACTTCCTGCGTGGCTGGTGGTCCTGAGTCAGTCCCTGCATAGGACTGCCCATCTCTGTGAAGCCCTGAGGCTGAGAGCCAGGGCCCACGCCCATCCCACCTTTCTGTGGCTGTTTGACCTGGGTCAGGATGTCCCGGATCTTCCTTTGTGCCAGCTGGAGAGATGACAGTGGTTTGTGGCAAAATGAAAATTGAAAAATGTGTCTTTTAGTTGTACCAGCATCAACGAGTAAACAAAGTTAGTGGAGAGCAAAACAGAGATAGAACTGAGTGAATACTGGACTTGTATTTGCCAGGGGGGCAGAAACACAACTCTTTTAATGTTATTAATATGTCGTATTATTGATTCTGATATTACACATCTATTACTAGCCACTGTTATAACATTTTGCCATATCAACTCCATGAGGCTCCATGAAGTCACATAGTGCATAACAGTGGTTTCTCTCCTTTGATTCATGCAGGCAAAAAGTTGTATTCCAATTATGGCTTGCCAGGCAAAAAAAAGACTGATTTTTGGTTTGTTTTGTTTTTTTGCTATATGAATATGACTATGAAGACTAAGTGGATTACTATTTCACTCATTTTCTAATTAAGACAGGGAAATCTAGACTGAAATCTAGACTGCTAGCCAAAATAATACCAGAGTGCACTTGCCATTCCCCAGCATAGTGGGCAGGGCACACTTGAATGTGCTTTGTGCTGTGATACCAGGCTCATGAAAATAGAGCCCTGTGTGTAAATAGTGTGTTTAGCTTGCTACAAATGGTCAAGAGAATACATGTAAGAAAGATGATGTTAGAGCAAATTACAATACTGTATATGTAAGGTCAACAAGAAAGATGTATTTAAGTATTATCTGCATAAACAGTTGATGATAAATGGTCTGCTATGTAACAAAGAAATGCCTGTCAAGAGAAGTCTTTTTTTTTAGCTAGCAGAGTTAGCCACAGCTACATATTAGCCTTAGTTAACATAGCAAGCATAGCCCTAAAATTGTTACAGTATTTAATTTTTACAGCATTGTATTTGATAGTAACTAGCCACAGATTCGAATGTTACTTCAATATGCCACTAATTGACAGTAGATGCTGGTTAGAAGGCGTCTGCCATTATGTCAGTTGTTCAAAAGGTTTTTAGGCTAGTAAGAAGTGATAACTTTGGAATGACAAAGATTATCTGACAATGTCAGTATAGTTTGACAATAATAAATATTCATCTGTTTGTTGGTCAAATATGGCTGTAAGTTTTCATGGGATATGTTTAAATTCTTATTGACTCTTGAGTTATATTCTAAAGCGTGATGAGGAAACTCCGTAGGAGAAATACCTGGCTGGCATAGAAATGTCCATTGATCTTAACGATGACCTGGTCATTTTCATCAGGTGTCTGTTCCCTGGGGACCACTACCTCAGCTGCTGTCAGGTTCTGCAGCTCATTCACCTGGAGACACAAATTTTTGGTGCATAAGGAGAGAACGACGACCTCATGGCAGAATGTTGTGAGCTTGGTGGCAAAAAAGGCAGAGGGCGGCCTCTGAAGTTGAGAGCTATGTGTTAAAAACACTTTATGGACACAATTCTCACTATAGCAATGAAAGCATGCCATGCAGGAAAGGGACACTGAAGTGTAAGGTTCAGGCTGCTTACCGTTTTGCCTCCCTTTCCAATGACCCTTCCTGCAGCGGCTGCAGCCATCTTGATATGTGTCTCCAGTTTGACCTCCTCCTTTGGGCCAAAGAAGTTCTCCTCCTTCAGCTTGCCGTAGATTCTACCCTGAGCCTGTAGGACCCCGACAAAGAGTTTCATAACAAACTGCACTATTGTACAAATCCATTGTATTATTGTCTGAGCTGAGATGAAATGTTAATCAGCGGGAAATGTCTTGTTAGTGTTTACCTTAAACTGAGCCTCAGGCGGTCCTGTCACAATCACCATCCTCATTTTAGAGTCCGGAGCTTCAGCTGGGGCAATCTGGAAGAGGAGAGAAAATAAAGAAAAGGAGAGAAGAAGAAAGAAGAAAAGAAATGAATGACATTAAAAATGCTATGTATTTATTTATGTTTGTGATGGACTGGTGATCTGTCCAGGTATATTGTACAGGCATATAAAGGCTAAAGTGCCTATGTAGCTTCAAGTGAGTGGGGAAAACAACAGGACTGTTAATAATTTGGATTTTAGGGAAAAAATGCTATTGTGAGACAGGATGTAATCTCTCCTGTAGCAGAACATGATCTGGAACATACAGTGTCAAGCTGACATTGTCAAAGGAGTGAAAAAGTCTGCTGCTGTAAGCAGGAGGTCATCTGGACACGTTACTTCTGAAATGACATGCATGTTGTATTTTTAAACTGAAGACATTATGACCACATAGACTGAAGGAAGAGCTAGACTGAAGGTGTTTCCTTACAAGGTGAGCTTGAGTTTTGTATTCACTTTTTTCATTTTCTTTTTTTTTTTTTGACAAGTATTCTGAGGGTTCTTTCTTGACCACACGATGGTGACGTAAAAACTAAAATAAAGGTAGAAGAACAACACTAAATGAGTGTGTGAGCATTTTTAGTAATTCTGAGATTCTTTCATTTGAATTTTAGCAGCTGGGACAGTATGAGGAAGAGAAGAGAGACTGTGATGAGTAAATCAAACAAAGTGTAAATGTGCTTGGACAAAAACAGGATTCTGAAGCGTTTAGGGGACATGCCTTCTTAATTCCTTGAGGATTTTTATTTCAAAATGTACTTTCTCTGTTCAACATGTAGCATGCCTTGTAAACCTCTGGTGAAGTACAGACCTTAATGGAGGCCCCAGCAAAGCGGCTCAGCTGTTTGATGTGCTGTCCCTTCTTTCCAATGATGGCTCCCACTGCCTGAGCTGGGATGTATACATGGACTGTCTCCTGCTCTGGAGCCTGAAGACACACAAAGCAAAGACTTCAATGCGAACTGAAAATCTGTTTGGGATTGTGTAACTGCTGAGCAGCTGGTGGAAATCTTAATTCTGGTGTGATACAGAAGCAGAAGCTCACTGCCCTGCTCTATGAACTTGGAGAGAAGAGTCAACATATACAAATATAAACAACTCACTTCTCAAACTGGAAAAGTAGCACGAAGACTAAGTAGGTGACACTTTGCATCACTGGTGTGATGGAAATTACTGGATTATGTGCCTTTGCTCTTTTATGCAATGTACTTCTGCTTCTCATGTTTGACACTACACACACATTCAGTTCCTAAACACACCTACACACTGGTTCAAACTCACAAAACAAAGCAGATATACAAAATGCTATTACTTTTACTTCCTAATGTCAGGATGCAGTTGGTGCCATAATGCTGCTCTAGACTGAAGATCTTATGTCTCTTTAGTATTTCATGAACAAAACTGTTTTGGTGGCCACATGTTTGACTATAACAGGGAATCACTGTTGGCTGCTTAAGAAACCAGAGAACCTTCTAGTGAATTAGACAGGTATTGCATAAAGCTGGTATTCTTACCCCAAAGCAGCCATAAGGGGCACCACCGACAGCATTTCCAGGGGGAGGTGGGGGCAAATTAGAGGAAGAGGGGAAGAGGCCCAAAGCGCCCAGGTTGAGGCCGGGGATCAGGTGGGTCTGTTGCTGTGGAGAAGGCTGCATGTTACTGCAGGAACCATGTGGAGGTATGTGGAGCATGTGCGTGTGGCAAAATCTGATATTTTAGTTCTCATGCCATATTAAAATTAAAAGAAAAATCACTGTTGCCAAGAGATTAGGACAAATAGAAGGAAACCGATTTTAAAACAGAGATAAACATGATTAAGTAATTAAATGTTGTGTTGCTGTTGTGTGTGTGTGAGTGCGCACATATGGACTCACATTCATAGCAGCAATGTCGTTCTCATAAGCCTCTCTGACCTTCTTCATGATCTCCACCTCAGCCCGACAGCAGGCTTCAATGGAGCCTCTAACTGTGATGGTTCTCTCTGGATTGTACAGCGTCAAGTCCTGCAGACTGTTTAGATCGCACACATACAGCTGATCACTGCTCTGTTCATTTTAAAGACAATTTAGCTCCCTAGTTCAGGTGCTGCAAAGCCTCTTGGAGTAGCCTAGAAACTCATGTGTTATGCAGATAGGGTTCTTACCTTACCATCTATCCACCAAAACTAAATCACAAGGTTGATTTTGATCTCTGCACTTTACAAGACTCCATTGCATATGTGTGTGTGTGTCTTACGGGGAAATGGTGATCTTGGTGTCAGTGTCCTGCTCAATTTTTTTCAGGTTGCGTCCCTCCTTCCCGATCAAGCGTCCAACAAAGTTGTTGTGAGCCAGAACCTTCAGAGGAACCTCATCAGCACTGTAAACCAAATGAAATGTATTAATATTTCACACAACACTACACAAACAAACTGTGCCAGGGATAATTATTTAAAAATTGTTATCTAAAACCTACGTCTTGGTGTCTTTAGCTTCCTGTTGCATGATGTCCAGGATCATGCGGCAGGCGGCGGAGCAGCCCTCAGGGATGGAATGGATGCTGATGGGCTTCTCAGCTGCACCTGCATTCTCCTTGCGATGCACATCAATCCTGCAGCAACAGCAGAGATGATAATCACTTTATGAAGTCACTTTATTCACCAGGTTTATTTAATTTAGACATTATGAGGGAAGGTCCACAGAACGATAAAATACAATATCTACCAAATAAATAAATACGTGGATCATTCCACAGTGATCAGACATTTACACACAGGCTGGAATGAAAATGGTTCCTCATTCTGTCAGTGTAAACATACTAAATGTATGAGCACATGATCTGGTGCCTATACATTTTGACACTGTATGTAAATGTCCTTATCATCTGATAGATCAGTGGTTATGTAATGGGTTTATTTAATAAGGCAACATCAGACAAAGAAATCAGGAAATTCTTATTTGTTGTCTTTTTTACTTCTAACATTCAGTTATTTTTGATCTTTCCTATATTGTTAGCAAACTGTGAATAACTTCAAGACCAGCACTACATGGACAGAAAGCCACCATGTTGTCCACATACAGTACACAAGGTGGTTAATGAGAGAATGGCCAACCATACGCCATGTTCCACATCCATTTAACTGCACTGACAGATGTTCAGAAGAAAAGGAGATAAACCACGACTCTGTCAAACCGCATTGTTCACACAGAAAGAAGTAGATACAGAAATTTCCCATCTTACTTTCATGACTTTTTACGACTGGTCTGTGGACCAGAAAATCAGGATTGTCACTAGAAACCCAGGAACGCCTCTTTGGTACAGTTTGGAAAATGATTTATAAGGTCCAAAGCTTTAGCAGCAGCCACAGTATAAAACTTGTATTTCTTTTAAGGCAAAAACACGCATTTCAGTGTCTTGGCTGAGTTCAGAATCAGAATCAGAATCACCTTTATTAGCCAGGGGTGTTGAATTTGACTCCAGTACAGAGGCTTTCAGTGAAAAAAAATGTGTATTAGGAAAATAAAAACAAAATACTTATAAAATATATGTGTATATACACACAGTTTAGTTTCCAGATCGATATATACAAAGGTATATTTACAAGGTATTGCACTGAGGGCTGTCATTCTGTTATACAGTCATGGGTTAAGTGTTCATCAGAGTGACGGACCTGAGGGAAGAAATTGTCCTTGTGTCTGGTTGTTTTGGTGCACAGTGACCTGTAGTGTCATCCGGAGGGGAGGAGTTCAAACAGTGCGTGTCCAGGGTGTGGGGGGTCTGCAGAAAATTTCTACGCCCTCCTTTTGACCTGTGACGTGTATACGTCCTCCATGAAGGACAGACTGGCACTTCTTTCTTCAGTCCTGACTGGCTGCTGTCCTGATGGGTTGCTAAACCAAACCAGACAGTGATGAGCAGAGAACAGACTTGATGATTCCTCTGTAGAACTGTATCTGTAGCTCCTGGCGCTACAGATACTTTTTGAGCTGGTGCAGGAAGTACATCCTCTGCTGTGCATTGTTGATGATGGAGCTGATGCTGAACGTCCACTTCAGGTCCTGGGAGACAGTGGAACCCAGGAACTTGAAGGACTCTACTGCTGATACAGTGCTGCTGAGTATACTGAGTGGGAGGGCTCTTCCTTAGGTCCACTGTCGTCTCTCCTGTTCTGAGTGTGTTCAGCTCCGGGTTGTTGCGACCACATCACAGGGCAAGCTTTTTAACTTCCCCTCTGTAGGCCAACTCATCACTGTCATAGATGAGACCAATGACCGTTGTGTCATCTGCAATTGGGTGGAGTTTAACAGAGGTGCGGTCATTTGTGTAGAGGAAAAACAGCAGCAGGAAGAGCACACATCCCTGGGGTCACCTGTGGTGATAGTCTGGGTGCTGGATGTGGATTCCCCAGCCTCACCTGCTGCTTTCTGTCTGTCAGAAAGCCGGTGATCCACTGACAGGTGGGGACAGGCACAGTGAGCTGGGTCAGTTTAAAGTAGATGATGATGATGGTGCTAAACACCAAGATGAAGTCCACGAAGAGGGCCCATGCATAGGTTCCTGAGGACTCGAGTTGTTGCAGGATGTTGACTGCATCATCCAGTGACCTGCAGGGGATCTACGATGTCCTTCACGTGGGCCAACACCAGTCTCTCAAAGGACTTCATAACTACAGATGTCAGGGTGACAGGTCTGTAGTCGTTCAGTCCACTGATGGAGGGTTTCTTGAGGACTGGGATGATGGTGGAACGTTTGAAGCAGGAGGGGACTTCACACAGCTCCAGTGATAACAATTATCAATTACATCAAGGAAGCACTGAATCACACAATGTTTAAATGTGCTTTAAACAGATATATGGAATTAGTGTAAACTGTGGATAACAGAACAGAACCTGTAACATCTGTTACAGATTTAGAAATAATACTAAACCGTAACAGCTTAACTTTTATGCATCTTCTGCATGTTACAAGCCAAATTTAGATACAAACTGCATCAGATGCAAAATGACATAATTCAATATTTAAATGAATGTACATCCTCAAACTAATGCTGAATTTAGAAGTGTAACAGGTAGGTCAGAGGAGAGGTGTTTGTACTTTTTTTCTCACTTACTCTGTGCAGAAAACAGGTGAGCGTGCGCGGTGTCTGTGTAGAAACCAATGTCCTTACACTTTCTTACATTTTCTTGGCAGCAGACAAAAAAAAAAGCTTTGTGATGGTGGTGATTGTCAGAAGCAACCTTTTTAAAGTTTTAATTTGAATTACTTTTATTGGCTAAGTATGTAACACACACGAGGAATGTGTCTCCGATACAAAACCGAGGCAGACATCTTCGGCGCCAACTCACACACCAATGGTGACACTATCCCAGCAAGGCAATGCATTGAAAGCAACTTGGGAGTCAGTGTCTTGCACAAGGACACCTCGACATGTGGACTGGGAAGAATGGGAATTCAACCGGCAAACGTCCAGTTAGGGAACGACCGTTCTACCAGCTGAGCCACTGCTTTCTGAAATAATAAATCAAACTGATATATTCTAACAGCACCTCGTAAAGATAATGTCCACAACACTGGTCCTTAGTCAGTGCAGACTCATGAAGATCTACCCATAATACTACATCATTTTCTTGCTGATTCTGAGATGCTTGACACATGCAAATGTTGAGAATGTTGTCAATTAATGAGTGTTGTGTGTATCTGAAAACTGTGTGTTTTAGTGCTTCCCCAAAAGCCTCTTCCCAAGTCAGGCAGGTCACTCTTTGACTCAGACGCTGTGTGTTTATCTAACTATTATCACACTATTGTTGTGAACACGGTTTTCATTCTGAGAATTATATCAGTTTGAAGCTACAGTGTGGAGTTAAACACAGACACACACTGCACTCACTTGCTCTGCGTCTGCTTGGTGATGTTGCGAATGGTGGCACCCTCCTTGCCGATGATGGCTCCGACATACTGTGTGGGTACCAGCAGTCTCAGAGGGATGTCAGCGTGCGGAGGTTTGGGCGGCATCCCGGAGCTCGGGGACCCACCGCGGGGCCCACCACGAGGCCCGTAACCAGGCCTTCGGCCATTATCAGGCCCCCGCTGGCCTCCCTCCAGCTCAGAGGCATCATCAGGAATGTAGGAAACACGTAAGGTGTTGTTCTCAAACTGGTACCCGTTCAGCTTCTGGATGGCCCTGGGAGAGACAATAAATGACTGCGCGGGGGAGGTCATATACAGCACTTGGAATGTAATTCATACAAAGTTACATCTCTATACATTTCATATAGACTGTCTGAAAATGCTGATGCTACATTGTTGCAAATGTCTTTGTCTGTTCAGTTATATTACAGTAATGATCCTTATTATCAACAGTAGTAGCAATGTTACTAACAGGAAGAATAGAGATAAACTTAGTTAACACACTGAATGGAAGTCAAATGATAAGGATGTACACGAGTGAGCCTTAACATTGGATGGATTACTGACTGGGCTACCGGGCATAAGCCCAGGAGCCCAAGGCATTGGGGGCATCCAAATGACTACAGAAAGAAAGCTGCAAAATGAGGAAAAAAAAAAAAAAAAAAGAGATGCTAAACCACTAAAAGAGACACGAAATGACTAAGAAGAAACAGACAAGATCCAAAGACAGCAAAACAACTACAAAAATACTGCAAAAGGCTAAAACAGACTCAAAAGAAGTTAAAAAAATATGTGCAAAATGACTACAGAAATATGCAAAACAAATAAAGATTAACACAAAATGGACAAAGGAGGTAAAAAACTAACTAAATAAAATTGCTACTTTGGACAAGAAACTGACGACAACACAGTGGACAGTTCTGAGTTACTTTCTTTGGTGTTCCTATATTGAGATTCACAGAGCTCATGTTTCTAATTGTAGTTCATTTAAATGGCCACTAGATGTCACAAGTGGACCGTAGACCACACAACTTGCTAATCTTACTGCATGAAGCTACATTATACTATATGCTGGACTGTATTGAATAAATATACAAATCTCTGTCTAGCACACTTTCGAATATTCTGTAACACATTAAATGAGGACATGTTTAAATGGAACCAAGAGCACACAGACCCAAAGAAAAGACTTTTCAAGATGATACAGTTAAAGACTGAAAAAGATATAACTTACTGCCTGGCCTGCTCCCGGGACGCATATGTGACATTAACCACTGCGGTTTCACTTTCTGTGTTCACTGAGAGAAAGAAAGACTCTTTAATACAACATGTGCTGATTTGTTATTATTAAATCATAACGTTGACTGCTGTAGAAAGAGTCTCTGACACTGTCTGAGACGCAAATGTGCCATATTTTCCTAAATTAAACTCTGGTGTCACAGTGGCCCCTGGCAGGACATATAGATGGATTAAATCAACACAGTACAGAGTACAAGACACACAGATGAGAGTTATAATCCATACAGTTTACAAATGGAACCAGCAACTACAATTTTATTAATGATTAATTGACTTATATAAGTCTATATTTGACTTTTTTAGGCTTCTTACATCTAAGTATTCAATTCAAGTCAAAATACTAATAATCTAAAATGCTAAATACAGATATAAAATACAATGTGAAACTGAAATAAACAAGGGTTGATAGCAGTTGCCAATCTGTATTTGGTCCACAGTATCCAATGGTGTCAAAAAAGCCCCCAGTACAGGAAAGCCTTAGGTGTCAGGTAATAATACAGCTGTGATATTGTGAGTGACATTGTTTGCCGATGTGACTTTCTGTATCATATTTTGGTATAATTTTCTATCACATGTACATTGTCAATTCCCCAACAAAGTAGTTTACTACTTTTTTCCCAAGCTTTAGTTAAGCAAGCTAGATTTTTCCCTGGGTCAGTTTTCAACTTCTTCTAGTGTGAAGTAATTGGTAGCTTTCAAATATACACTTTTAAAGTACAGTAGCTTTCCCAACACTACACATTGTTGATTTCCATAGAAGAAAGTAGCCATAATGGACATGTGTGGGGTCACAGGTAATCTTACATTCACTTTAGAAATTATTCAGACCTCGTCAATTCTGCACACTTTGTGCTGCAGGTTTAATTTTATATGAAAAATGTATTCATTCATGACAAAGAAAAATCTATATATATATAAGAAAGAGGCTGTGGTGGCCGTCTGTCTCTAATTGTCAGCCCTGTGACAGACTGACGACCTGTCCAGGGTGTACTCCGCCTCTCACCCAATGTCAGCTGGGATTGTGCGTATAATTTATTATTATTTATTTATTTTACTAGACACATCACTAGTGTACACAAACCACAGCAAACATCAGACGGGCTTTCAATTCAGCGAGCATGACACTCAGAGTCGTACCTTGTTCACAGTTCTCTACAGTTCCACACTGGGCCAACAGACCATCCAGCACCTGACATAGACAGACAGGAAAGAAACAAAAGGAAGCAAAGAAGGGAAGCAACTCGTCAGTTCATATGGGAAAGCCAAAAAATTGGGCCTTCAAAGCAAGATGAAGGCCCAATTTCACACAATCACACATTCCAGCGGCTGAAAAGGCAGAGCGTAAAGAAAATTAGGAAAAGATAGACAAAAACGTTAACAATACAATTTAGTCCATCTTCTTCTATTGAGGCCTAGTGGAGCCAAGCTGCAAACCGCTTTATTATAGCAATATGTTGTTTTATTGTCATGTTTGTCTAATAAATAGTTCCAAAGAGTTTTGTCAAACTATTTTGAAGCATCTAAGGTATCCTTAGAACAAATGAAGAGCAGATCAATCATCACAAGGTTTATCAGCCAATCAGGATTCAGCATACATCAGAGCCACCGATAATTTGTTCAAAAGAACTCAGTGATATTACTGTGTTAAAACATGTGATTCATTTTCAAGTTCATTTAAATTTATGTGAAATCCTTAATCTTACCAATTACTGTGAAACTGACAACAATCTAATATTGTGCTAATATATAAAATAAAATAAGGATATAACAACAGGGAATTGACTGAAATGAAAAACTAAACTGAAGAGAGAAAACGTGCTGGTAGAAAAAGTACATCAAATAAATAATGCAAGTGAAATATATCATTATGATATGCAGATTTGTCCAGTGAACTGTACTGCTGCTTATATATTATCTATTAACTATTAAAGGCTGATGACTTACAAGCCATGAAGTATCTGTTTTGCTCAAAGACAACACAAATACTGATGTAGATTACGGTGGTGATTCCACAAAATCTTTGTAAAGCAAAGCTAAAGATTTGTTTTACATTTCTTTTCTGCTTCCTCTGGTGCTTTGCCACTACAAACATATACAACGTACAAATACTGTACACACACTGCTAAAGAGCCTGTTATCAAACAGGTTGTGCCTGATTATGAATTGAACATCTACGGTAACTTTTACAGATTCATTTTTTCAATTTTATCCAAGGTTTGCACCCTTTGAATCCTCTACTTAAACTAAAATACTTTTATTTTGAGGTTTTGGGGGGTTTGTCTGATAATTACTCATATATCTGGGGATAGTCTGACACTTAACCCTTCATGTTTCTTAAGGTTCTGAAACATAGAAATGACACATTTCAGTCCTCTCTGCGGAGAGATGTCGCCCCCTTGTGGACACAGTTGGCAGGACCAGTGCAGCGGAGAGGTTCCGTCACACACCCACACTCACACACGCAGAAACCGAGCCACTCCCACAGGCTTTTGCTTGCCAGATGAGACAGGCAGTGTGCCACACCCTCACAAAAACAATAAGGCTGCACACACAAACACACACTGCATGTGTGGAGTACACTGATCCCCGAACATTCCTTTCTCCTGCATTCAGTGCTGTTTGATGAATCAGCTCTTTAAAGTGGAGTGAATAGATTTGCTTGGAAAAATTTGGGGCTGCTGAGTGCCCAGTATTACTACTACTTTCTATTTGGCCTTTCAGGAAACAGCTGGTCTAATTTATTCCTAGAATAATCCACTAGTTGACGGAGTGACATAAAGAGAAAAACTGATCTATTTTAGGGTTTAAAATGTATCAGATACAGGTAATCAGTACATTGTAACCTGATTGGACACAGGTCTGCTCAGTCCTTGTGCATGAAGTGTGAATTTTTTCACTGGTTCTGAAAGAGGGGGGTTATTTCAGAGTTTTCAAAATACAACACTTCAGTTTATGTTATTCACATCCCTTTTGTTTTAATGTTTCAGTGTACAGTATATTATAACATTTTAAAATGCAATTGCCTGAAACCGTGCAGTTTAAAATACTGTTGTACAGCGGTTCACACAGGGCCTCCTGATCACCCTGTGCACTCTGCCGTCCTTACTGGGGCTACCCAGTGTGCTTCTTGTGGTTGTTATATGTCACTGTAGCTGGTATTAGTCATCCAGCTGAAGAGGAGACATACTGTAACTGCAGCAATTAGTCACCAACAATCAATAGGTTAGCGCTTATAATGGTTAGCCCATACGTTTATCAATATATGATGATTAGTACATTATATCTGACTCCTCTTTCAGCTGTTCTGTAACTTGCTGCTTTAAATGAAGGTGATTTCCATGCAAAGTTCACAGTGATTTAAGCAGTCAAACATATACTCACCTAAATTTGAGGAAGTACAGTCACCCCCCCACTGAAGTAAAGGCAAATATGACCCACACACACAAACACATGCCTCAAGTGGTACAAACATTTTCTGTGAAGTCAGAATGGGTGGCGTTTCAAGCTTCTAACCTCAAGCACCAGAGGACAGGGGGGGTGGATTTTTAAGGTGATTTCAGATAGCGAGTGCGTGCCACCGCTGCCTCCATTCTTCACAGTGTAAACAAGGTGGCAGTGGCTAGAGGAGGGAGGGCAGTTGAACACACGGCTCTGCACCGTGGAGTTCATGAACATGTTACTTTTTTCAGCTTCCCACCATTAAATCTCAGAGAGGAAAATGATGCAGGAGCTGGTTTTACAGATGAACGACGCCCCTCTTCATCAGCTTCCAGACAAAATGTAGGAAAAAGAAACGACATCTTCAGAGTTTGATTATTTGATCTGGGATAGAGCATCAGCATAATGTGTATATTACCTCGTAATGTAGTACCAAATAAATATCGTCCAGTGCTGTTGTGCACTTCTTTGCATTCAACATAAGTCATCATTGAAAACCTGGCACTGCATACAATGCTGTCAGCTAAGCCTACATGAAAAGTCAGAATGTCTGTGTTGTCATTGGTCACAGATTCTAGCACAAGGGCCTGTCTTTTTTTGTTTGTTTGTTTAGCAGAGTATGTATGTATATACCAAATATGACACATTTTTAAAAAGAGAGAATGTTGACAGCAATGTAATGTTACTGCAAAGCAGCGTGAAGTCACAGACTGTGTGAATGATGAACTAACCTCCCATTGCAGGTGAGGTGGAATGTTTCTGATCTGCAGTTTCCTGGTCCTGTGGAGAGAAGAAGAAGGAGACAACATTAGCAAATAAAAAAAAAAATCTACTCAAAGAAAGTAGTAAGTTTTGTGATGCCAAGCATACTAGCAGCGATTTCATCTCACTGGTTCCCCAGATGGGCACATCATCAAGCGTCAATTGTTGCAAGTCAAATGATGCAATGCAGACAGTACAAGTTGCATCCACGTCTTTTCATTTTAATTGAAACAGACACTTCTTTTTGGGACAAGTGAGCAGATAGAGACACCGTACTCCATCATCAGTTATTCTATTTTTGCTTGACTGCTGGGAACTCAAGTTTAAGCTCAAAAGCTACTTTGGAAACAACCCTTTCTAACCGCTCACAGATGGTAGTCGTGGAGTATATGAGTAAGCCATTTGGGGATTCTGTCTCTTTCTCAGGGAGATACGTCTTATATCATTTCAACACATCACCCATGAGGTCCTAATATCCCTCCACCATCTGTACCACCATCTATTTGAACCCAGATAGACAGCTAGAAATATCATGTTCTTGGCTGCTATAAGGATTGTGATTCTGACATGACCACCGAAACATCTCTGCAGGTAGGTGGGGAATAGGAGGGCCACATCATTTCCAACACCGTGTCTACACGTCCATCATCCGACATTCCAGTCCAACTGCTGTGGTCAGTTTTTGTGCGTGGGAAGGTTTGGTAATGTATTCGTGCTGACATCACTGTAACCGTATATGTGTGTACAAATTCTCGGCTGTCTCATCATGCTTCACTGTTGAATATGATCGTCCCTGTAATACTCTCCCATCAGCATTCAACACATACATTCATTTTCTTGTGAGCTAAAGTTTTGACTCTTGTAATCTCTTGAGAGCTGTCATACTTGAAAGTACTGTTCAGTCAAAAGATGACGGATGGGCACTAAAAGGTTTTCATCAATTGTGCTTTCATTATTGAATCTGAACGAGTAAATGCTAAATAATCGACCTGGCAATCAAATTTTTTAATCAATCAATCTGTGCACAAAAAAAGAGTACATACAGATTTTATAGCATGTATTTAAATTCCTTAATCTTTAGCACAAATGTAAGTTGCCTTACTTTGGCGGTGCACATGTTGGAAACCAAGATTTTCTGCTGTGGAACTCATTGGAAATCAATCTAGATAGCTTAAATGTGAAACAGCGTCTCATCTTTACAACGCATTATTATCTTTACTGCTCCTTATCCAACCCTGCACCCCACCCAGCTGAGCCCTAAACCCCAACAAAAACCAACCCCCATGTCCACCTCTCCAGCTAAACCCCACCCAAACCTCCAGGAGGCTCCAGCACAGATGAATAGCCTATTGTGCATCGAGAATACCTGACATCTCCTTTGATCCTTGATCAATTCTCAGATGTATCACTCACTCTACACCCCAACCTATCTAACACACAAAACCAGTCCCCTTCTCCTCACTTCTACAGACACACATTCCACCATAAGCATCTCCAAGACCCCACTACACATGCACAAATTTCTTTGGTATCAACTCTTCAACTCCCCATTATCCTTTCCTACACCATTCCAAACCACACTATCCTTGTTTTTGCCACTTACTCTCTCCTTACATAGACTTACATTCATTCCCAAGAGACCTACCCTAACCTTAACCAGAACTGCTACTTGCCTAACCTTAACCCTTCCCCTAACACTTAACCAAAGCCGACACTTGCTCTAACCTTACACCCTATCATTTTCGTAAAATTCAACAAAGTACATTGTGGGGACCGGTCTCCGGTCCCCGTGAAGATAGTAACCCATGGATTTTGGGCTGCACAAGTATAGACAAACAAAGCCATCACCCCACACACATATCCCAACCCCCATTAAGCCACCATTAGTGAACTTATTTGGCCCCTAGCATCGTCAGCTGACAACCCACAGCCTACCCTATTGGTTGAAACCATAGCAACAGGTTAGGAATGGGTGGGCAAAGAAGATAGATGGGAGGGCAGATGGCCAACAATACAACATGCTTCACATCTGCTTATGTGCTTATTCACTCATCTGTTATCTTGTTTCAACTTAAATCTTTTCCCTTTACCTGTGTAGGTATGGCCAGCTTTGCTAGGTCTCCCACCTCCTGTCAGCCTAAGCTGGAAATCTTTTAAATCTGTAATCTTTCACAGTAAATCAGTAAAATTTTACATTTTTGTTTCAACAAACCATAATGTTGAATTTTGCTATCATTTAGTGTATAGCACAATATTATTAATATTTGACGCATTAGTATCTTTATGTAATAGATTTTATAATGCTTCCTTGAAACAGTGGCAACAGCTTGATGGAATTAAATGTTTTGCTGCTAAATATAAATATATTTGCACCACTTATCTAAGAAAGAAGTCTGCTGAGACCCTGTTCCCTGACTTATTATTGATATGCAAAGATGGAAATACATTGTCACTGAAGCTTATCTGAAGCTGAACGTAAAAACTGCAGTTGTGAAGGCATTAAATCCTTGCTCAGCTCTGGCCTCTAGAAGAACAAAGAGCCAGAGAGAAAGAGGAGGAGAAAGAAAAGAAGCCAAGAGAATGGAAAGAGAAGAGAGGAGGAGAGAATTGCTTTGCCTGTAGGAGGGGTCAAAGGCCAAGGGTCAGAGCTCTTCAGACCAGTCAGTGGGGGTTCAGAGACCACAGCGAGTTGTTTGTCTGGGTGTAAGGGTATTGTCCTGCTTTTTAATAGTCGGAAAATTTAACATGACTAGAGAAGAGTCAGTATGTAAACCTCATCGGCATGATCTTTTAAGAGTAAAATCAATATCAACATAGCCTTTTTTTCAGTTCTTGGTACAGTCTCTCTCCTTCAACTTGGCTCTAAATTTAATTCTAGGTTCCAACTCTTTTTCACCAAATTAACCACGGAGTGATACAATGACAAACACAATTTGATTCGAATTAGAACAATTTTTGATTCAAAAAGAATTTATCCATCCATCCATTATCTACCCTGCTTATCCTAATAAGGGTCAAACAACTGATTTCTGTCCTTTGCACCCTTAGCTGCTAATAAACAGACTGTTAAGCGAACTGGTTCTGATGAGCATCAAAACCAAGTACTTTACATACCTCTACCCAGCAGTATGTAAAGTACTTGTATATAAGGGTATTAAAATTAGCTCCACCTTTACCACCTGTAGTATAAAATGTGATGAACACAATAATTAGAATCCAATAATATAAATGTACCAATTTGTATACTGAGTACTTTTACTTTTGGTACTTTAGGTTATATTTTGATGCTAATATTTTTGTGCTTTAACTTAAGTAATATTTTAAGTATGTGGCTTTTACTTAGAGTTTTTTTACATGGTGATATAGCTACTTTTACTTCAGTAAGCAATCTGAGTAGCCTACTTCTTCCACTGCTGGTTTTTGGTAGCTGTGCATGTGTTATATAGGGGAGAGGGAAGAACAAAGCAGAGCGCTCGGTAGAGAATGTGAGGGGACATCACACCGTGTTGAATACTGGGACAGGGGCGCCACTGTGGAAGATATGTGTCATATGTACATATGCATTGAGAGCCGCTGTACCAGAGTCTAACTCCTCGTGTGTCCAACACACCTGGTCAATAAAGCTGATTCTGATATTTAAATCCATACATTCTTGTTTTATTTGACTAAAAGTTTTCTTAAATTATTTAGATCTTACTTTCCTGACTGTGGTAATTCAGAATGGATAACCTTAGCTGGCTGTAGCTGGCTGTAGCTAACTTGTAGCGGATGTAGAGATCCTGTCGATGAGAGCAACAGACTGAAAAATGACTGCATCCTGATCTCGCCTCTCACTTTGGGAGCTAATGCTAGTTAGCAGCGTTCATCAGACACAAACACTGCACATGAATCAATTTCTGTCTGTCTGTGTCAAACTGAACACTAAAGTGGACGTAGTTGAAGCATCTGTATCAGTATTTATTTTTTAAATTAACTTATAGATGTATGTGTTGTATACATTTATGACAGATAATGAGCGGAATCCTATCAAAATGGCGCGCTTACCCAAAATTCAACACGGCGTAACAATACCTTCACATTCCCTTTTCTGTTGTTAACGTTATGTCTGTAGTGGAGAACAGTGTCTGCCCTGCAACATTACTACCAGAGAAAGCCAGCGTTATCCACAACAGGCACAGGTCTGTAGAAACACAATCTTTTCTTTGAGCACTTGAGCCAAACTGGCTGTTGAGTTGCTCTTGGTTGTTAATACGTTCGCTATATGCTAGTGTCAGTTTTTTGGTGATGGCTACGAAGTATTCACACAGTCCTCCGTACTTCCAAACCTCATTATCAAGTCATTAACACACTGAAATTATTTCCTTTTCTGAAGATGAGCTAACATTAGAACAAATAAAACTGTTATGTTTGGGTGCTGTTGTGTGGTACATTGGCTTCAATCACGCCCTTTTCATTCCATCAACATTATTACAAAAATCCATTTTCAGCATTTGTAAATTGATTTAGAATCATAGAAGAACGATTTTTTCGCCCACCTGTGGAGCTAATTGCTTACTGCACTTACAGACTAAGTGCTACTACAAGATTAATTGCAACAGTAAGTTTTGTAACTTTCCAGAACAGGCAATCCAACAATCACCCCACCCACCATCAATTTACACAGTAATTGGCAAATTGTGTGGTGGTGTGAAAGCAGACAGTGTTTACACTACTTTATATAGCTCTGTTTTTTTCTTTACATACAGGAAGTACTGCAGTCTTTTCATATGTACAGATGAGTGCAACACCATGAATGCCTTCGAGAAAACGTGAATCTGAACTGCTGTTGACTGACATGCTGTACAACTCAGTTGAGACACACTGAGGCCTTTAAAGCCCCAGATACAAGCAAAGACATGCAGCCAAAAAGAGTCAAGTTAGTAGTGACTAGCATTTCCAGGTTGCTGTTGCAAACACCTCGTCAAAACAATTTTCTGCGGTGCTGCAATTTATCTGAAATCAGTAATGAGTTATTCATT